GGTGGACGGCAAATGGCCTTTATTGATGGGTAACAAGGTGTTATATAGCTAGGTTTACAACGTCACATCCGTCTGCTTACACCATAGACTAAACACTATTGGCTATTAGGGGCCCTATCTTTCCGTACAGCACGATATCTTCCGGCCGCCGTTCCCTAACTATCTGCAACAATTGGCTGCTGTGGAAAAGTTCAGTACAAGGAAATATAGGTACACAATGTTTGGCTTACCAATGAATAAAACACTCCCTTGTGAAAAATATGGACTCACATTAACAAAAATTCAGACTCCCATTAAACAAACTGGTTCAGCAAGCTGTATATGGTTAAAATAAATCCTTGAATTTTCATAATTGATCAAGGCCCAAAATCACATCTACAGCTGTTCCATGTGGCTGAATCACAACAGATTCTTTTCAGAATGAATTCTCTTTACTCCAGCATCAAAAATACAAGATCGAATTTCCCTAGTGTCAATAGCTCTGATGCATAATACTGTGCATCAAGAATTTCTGAAATGAGACTGCATAAGAAATGGACATATCTGAAGCTCTGCTGTGCAGAAGGGCCCAGAGCTGTGTGAAGAGACAGCAATTAGCTTTTTTCTTAACTGCATTACAAGGAAGAGGACAGATCCTTATCACTCCTTGCATTCACCACTGAGGATAGTCTGGGAACTCCTAAGTCACACCACTGTCCTGATAGAAAGGGTCTTATTTGTAAGTCATTTTCTTCATTTATTCCTTTGTTTGTGATCATCATTTTAATTGTAACAACATTTGTTGTGGCTTTAAGCAATTGTTATCACTAGTTTGACACTTAATGGGGAAGGGATGCCTAGGAAATTGTGGCAGAGGAGAAAACACTGTTTCTTTGAGAGCTACTGATCAACTCAACCATTTTCTGTAGTTATCCCCTTTCAGGCTGAACAGATCTAGCAATCATAACCACTCACAGAGGCAGGCAGGTGCCACATTCTTCCAGGTTGAGGAAAGGAAAGAGAAACAAAAGTGACTTATGTCTGAATCAGGAAATACATGCTGCTGTTATCCTTAGGGATCCATTAAGCCCAAACTGCTATTTAAAATATGCATTTTTGTTGGTTTACCATGAAGCTGTTTCTTGCAGAAACTAACGGCAGAACAGAAATCCACCTCCAACCAGTCTGCAGCATCTTAGATCAGCTGTCAGACACTCAGGATGATGCAGTCACTGCATGAAGACCACAAATGTTCAAGCTGCTTACTTTTGGAGGGACCCTTCATCTAGAATCCAGAGAAGAAAAAATCCAAGAGACTCACGGAAAAGGGGCCTAGCATGAAGTAACCTACCTTCTGTGCAAGTGTCTCCTCCTTTTACCAACTTACAATGACAACGTGAGCCACCTCGATCATAGTCATTGACACAGAAGCTATCTGTAGAACAGATGGTCTCATCGCAGGACAGATCAAAGAAGTGCGCTACCGAAGACACGCTGTTCCTCCTCAATGTCCTAGCTATAGTAGTCCTCAGTGTGGTAGAAGGGACAGGTCGTGCGGTTGTAGGAGTGGATGTCGCGGATTCTGAGGTGGTTGTAAGGAGCCTCGAAAGGAGCCTTGAACTGGACCCTGGAGTGACCTTGGTTTCAATGAGAAATTTTCTGTTGCCTCCTTTAATAGCAGGAAGTGGTCTGAGCTAGTGTGAAATAAAGAAACATAAATCCAGTATAACCTCAATGGAAATGAAAAAACACCTTCTAAGATACAGATCTGGAGTAACGAATACATTCTCACTGAAAAAAAAAAAACATTAAGACTCATCTGTGCATATAAAGTTCAGATATGAAATTTCACAAGATCAGACACTTTAAAATATTAACACTATAAAGAAATCAGAAATGTTGAAGCAAAACCTTGAAATTTACCTCTTCTATGTAAATGTCATAGTCTGAATCATCAATATCAAAACCTTCATCATCACCAATTAATGTGCCTGTGACATATCGATGCCCATAGCTTCCACTTCCTAGTTCTTCAGAGCCTGTAAAGACACAACTGGCATATTCAGTTCATAGATTTTTTTTCTCTTGACACACAGCTCAAATAAAACCTCTTCTTAACTCAGGACACTAAAATAAGAAGTGTTGATATTCATTTCGTACAGCAGATGTATCAGGTTGAAGAGATAAATAAGTTACACCTAAACAATTTAAAACAAAGTGAAGATCTTCATTTAGACATTTATGGTGGCTCCTTAACAAATTCAGGAGAAGCACAGTTTTGCAACTTGCCTTTTATCTATCATTCTTTCAAGAAAATACCTCTGAAATTTTGAACTTTTTCTAGTGCTTGCCACTTTTTAATAGCTATATTGCTTTTAGCCCAACTTTTCCCTGGTATAAGTACACAGTTTCCTGCTTGCCCTAGTGATGACTAAATCTTTTGTGTGAATTAATAAGAGCAGAAGTGTATGTGGAATGGCAAAAGAAATGCATCTAGGAAGCGATTCGCTGGGACACCCTGCTTAGGAATTAACCTGACTCCGAAAGTTTTGAAAATAACATCCCAAGTGCATTTTTAGGCTTTTTTTGTTTGTTTGTTTGTTTGTTTTGCTTTTTAATGCAATTTAGCAGCTGGAAAAAAAAAAGGCACAAATGTGATCTTCTGAGCTGCCTACCCAAGGAACACTAAGTGCTGCGACACATTCAGGGCTGAGAATGCCAAGAAAAACTAAGTTGATCAGCACAGAGAATATCTGTGTTTTTCCATACTTTAGGCAGCATATTTCTGCTTAAATTACAGCTAATAAAATTGAACGGAAATTATGATTTATGAAGAAAGGCAATCAGGGTAACTTCATCACAACTGCTTCTTGTCACTTTGGTAAGGTTTAGAATATAATGACTTTGGTAACCAGTGAAACAAGGGACTTGATAAATTTGCCTTTTCATAAAATATTCTGTGGTCATTTAAAAATAGCATAGATAACTTGCTATTTTGCTTTACAAAGTCTGTGTAAGAGCTGACCATGTGTGCTTGCTTATCTTAGCAGCCATAAGCTGCCCATATTTTCTAGTCAGCAAGTCTTCCATATTATACCAAGGAGAGATGCAAAGTCTAGGTAGGTGAAGAACAGCTGCTACAGGAGACCTGTCAGCCCAGAAGATGCCACCTCACCACTTGATGGTCACGAGACTTTCACTACCACCACTAAGCAAAATAATGGAGCCAGTGAAAAACAATGGGGTTTGGCAAGACATTCAGATGGAGCAGTGTAGGCACGAAGTTTTTGTGCTATTTGAACTGGTGTCAGTCAGGTTAGCAATCTCTCACCTCAGTGCAGAAAAATGGAGAAGTTTGGCCTAAAGTCAGACAGAAAAGCACTGGTCTAAATCTTTTTGTACTCTTGCTCTTCCGCTACCATGGCTGCAACCCAGAAATCCTGAGAGACAATTATAAAATCAAACGTATGTGCACTAGATATGAATGTGTGCCCTGGCTGGCAAATCAAGGTTCATCATGACCATCATCTACATCAAGGATTGACCCTAAGGGATTTCCTGAGACTCAGCTGACACATTCAAGCACCATGCAGAATACTTAAGCACCCATGCCAATTTCTTTTTCAGCATGAGCCAGAGATAGAGATGCCTCCATTTGGGAGATGTCAGGTTTTGATGTCTAGGCCCTGAGGAAGTGATGTAAACAGATTAAGCGGGCACTTTTGCCATGTTTACTGTGGAGACAAACAGGAGGGTATTTTTAACAGAGCACAGGGTATTTTTAACGGAGTACGCTTCCTCTGTTGGTTGGGCACAGCCCAACTGTTGACCTTTAGGGCATAGTGCAAACCCCATCTGTTTCCCCAGGAGATAAAGGGCATTTAAGTGATGCAGATGAGGACATTTTCTTTCTTGGACTCTGCAGGGTAATTTATTACTTTTGCTGTTACTAAACTTGATATGTGAAATCTTCTGGTTTTAAGTCAGTTGTCTAAGACACCCTGAAAGATTTGATACTGCAAGAAAACAAACAAAAATATAACCAAAACACCTGTAGTGAGCATCTGCAATTAAGAAATGCACAGAAATTGATTTAAGCAAATCATTGCTTCATTTCCTTCTATAACAAAATGAAACCAAGTCATAAATAAATGAAAATCCTTGGGGAACTTTGCCCTCTCCTTCCTCCCTCAGAATGGATCAATGTAACATAAACCAAGCATACATTTTTTATTAAGTAAGGGGGTAACTATGCTGGTAATCAAGGCCACATGTTCTGCTTGCAAGTATCTTGGGAGGTCTGTCACATTAGGTGATACAGTTGCAGCCCTGTAGGAGAATATTTGAGTAAACACAGCCAACATTTTCTTATGATGACCTGAAGCACTGCACAATCAGGAGTACTGCAAATCAAGTCACATTTGAAAACAAAGTATGAGAATTATACCTTAGAACGATACAAGCCCAAGGTCCTGTGTTCACAGAGGTCAGTGCAGGATAAGCTCCCAGGTAACATGGACTCAGTGTCTGCTGAACTCACTTGTCCGTAAGAGGTACAAGAGACTTTTCAGCAGGGCCACTGAAGGTCCAGTGTAGTTGAGGTAACATTGAGAATTGGATTTACAGGTAAAAGAAGCATCACATAGGTGAGAAAAAGAAAAAAATGCCAGTCTTGTTGCCCTTTTCTATAATTCATTAATCTGTTAAAATTATATCCAGGCATTTTATTGCCTCGTATTCTACAAATGCCTTCAAAACTGGAACTTAGAAGTACTGAAATCTTCCAGCACGGTTTGCCACATTAAGGATATGGTTTATATAGTCCTCATCAGCTTTGGCCCTGTTGCCTGTCTTGACTCTGCTTTGTGGCATGGTGTTTTTCACAGTGAAGCCCTGTGCTTTGTGCAATTCCCAAAGGCCTATGTAAGCTTGGCTGCGATCCTCAGACACTGCTATCACTTTGGGGGTAATGAAGGGCAATAAGATTCCAAGTCAGCTCACAGACAGGCACTGTCGGGAGGATCGAACTCTGAGGAAGGCAGTCAGGAAATGTCTGCAGGACCCACCATTTGTTGCCATGTGCATGGCACACCCTGCTGCACAAATGTAAATATAATTTTTATAAAGTCATGATTCGTCAGATGTATTTGAATACAATTTCGCCTACTATTTTCACTATGTAGCTTCTCATTAAAAAGGGATATTTACTTGTTCATCTAATTTTCACAGTCGTGCTTAATAGTTTAAAAGCTTTACTCTAGAAAACAGCATAGATTTGCTTTGGTCTTTCTGAGTTTCTTGAATGATACATGAAATATATACAGTTCAGTTTTAAGGAACTGTGAAAAAAGATGAGCAATAGACTTACTCCTCTTATTTCTCCCCATGATATTCACTTATCAATTCTGTATGAAGCCAGCACAAACATCAGTAAGCAGAAAACCAAGAAGACCTGGCAATGACCTCCTGAGCAGAGAAACGGCAGGAGAGTGCTGATGCCTGGAACATTTCAGATTTTCATCAGTGGCTCAACTTTTGCAGGATGATGTAAGCATCACAAACAGGAACGAGAGGTCTAGGACCTGGGGTGCCTCTGTACTCCAGTTCTGAGGGGGAAGCTGCTTCCACTAGTGCCTTGTAAAGGCTGCCCTTGATATGCAGCTTTAGCTCTGAAAAGGCAATTCTACTTACTGAATGTGTGGATGACATTGCTTGGTGTGCTGGGGAGGCTGGATCCATAGGAATTTGCTGCTCGAATGGCAAACTGATATTTGGTATTTGGGAGAAGCCCCTTGAGAACCATGGACTCCATCTGGATCTGCTCCCTTATTACTGTCCAATTGCTGTCAAGATCTGGCCTTCAGGAACAAAAAAATCAAGATCATAAATAATTAAAGCTGTCTGTGTAAGTTAATTGCCTTTTAACTATCCAGGGAAATACAGGAAATAAATGAGAAATCAGCTTGCTAAACCACCATTAAAATCTTTCATTCTTAAGGAGTCAGACTGTGCAACCATTAGAAGCTGAGAAGACTGATAATGGAACATTGCACTATATAGTGTTATGGAAACACTATTTGGATTTTGATTAAAACCAAGAAGATGGTTCAGAAGAGAGTTTGACCAATCAGGTTCTCGTAATCTTTTTTTTTTTTTTTTTTAATGTCAAATAAAGGTATATTACCAGCAGTTCCAAATCCCATAGCTGTCTACAGCAAGGAATATATCGCGATGGAGGCAAAGACTCTTCTAATTTATTCCTAAAAGCTTGTATCCTAATGTCAGTGAATATCTTCAAACATATACAAGCATTAGCAGGACAAGAATCTAACGTTTGATTTACCAGGCAGGCAAATTAATCCAGCCACATTGGAAAATCTGGATCCAAATGCTTCTCCCCTAAAATGAGAAAAGTACTGAATAATAATGGAGAGGACCTAGCCTATGTACATGGGTTTTTCAACAAAATTCCCATGCCTGGCTTTGGGCAATGCCTGTTTAAATCCTGATTCACACAGCAAGCTGGCTGCCAGTAATGGCTCACTCTGAGTGCTGTTATAACCCATTTAAAATCTGTATATTCATTCACATGGCAATTTGGTTTGAACAACAATCTAGGGAAACTGAAAATGCTGAAGTTTATATGCATAAGGATATCTGAAAGGAAAAGACTACTTCAAACACTCTGAGAGAGTGTTCTGATACTTTCACATCACTTCTAAGCTCTCTAAAAGTGATCTCTTCTAATCAAAGAGGAAAACTTGTGAAGGAAGCATATACACATAAACAAAATAGAAAATATAAACATTAAGTCTAGGCCATCCAAAATATTCAAATTGAAGCCTATGGAAGTAAAATAGGCTTTGACCTTTCAGATCAAATTATTCTGGTGGCCTTTGCTAAGATGTCCTTGTGATATTTATTACAGGAAATAACCTCCAAGTGCTCCCTGGATCTACTAGCGTTTACATAGGACTTGCTGCAAATGTCCCCAACAGTCTTTCAGTGAAAATTCTAGCACAGGGCAGGCATTTTGTGTTTGTTTATTTGCAGCTGGAAGGAAATGCCAAAGTTAACGTATGTTTTCTTTTACCAGTCAATACAAGATTTATTGATCACTGAGGTCTCATTTCTGTGTACCTCCCAACTGCCGACCTGCTATGCAGTAGCACACAGCACGTGAATATTACTTTATCTCACTAATAGTAAAAATAAAATCAGACAAACAAGATGTAATGACAGCTAAGCATCCTATATTAAGTCACCCTCCATCACCATTCCCTGGTAGACAGGGCATTTATTTTGGCTACTCTTCTGTTCTTTCCTCTTCTCTGAGCATTCTTTGTCTGGGCCAAAAGGAAAATGTCTAGGTTTTTTCAAGTAAAATCTGTTCCCATCACTGCTTTGCACATTGCTGCCTTTGTAGCATTTTCAGTTTTCCTATACACATATTTGTTTGGCTCTAGTTACAAACCAAAGAATTTCTACTAGCTCAAAAACTGCTTTATAGTCACTTTACAGCAGATACTGCTGGTCTGCACCAGGCTGGGAGAGGGAATACTAAGGAGATCTGTGCACTACAAAGAGATTCAGGAGATAATGTGCAATCTCCACAAACCGTCAGCTAACCTGGACTTTACTGATTGCCTCTTGCAAGACTTCCTCCTGGAGAAGGGAATAATAAAGGAAATTTCTGCAAACGTGTAAGTATCTCCAGCTGAAGGAGGAATGGTGAGATTTATCACTTGACCTTTGCTATTTTTCCAGAACGCTGCCTGAACAAATAAATTGGAACAACATGATAAAATAGCAAACACATGGAGAGAGAAATACAATAAACTCAGTTGGCTAATATGTTCCCAGTGAGACAACTTCTACATTTTCTAAACTCTAAGTGTTTTGCTGAAAAAATATCTTGGTTGTCCTTCTTGCATGAAGTTTTAGTTTATATCAACTTTTACATCAAACAGCTCTTTTAGAGAGAATGATCCCACTTTTCCAGTCTTTCCACAGAGCTACATTCCCTGGAAAAGGTTCACTCCTGTTCTTGCTGTGCACATGATCATGAGCTCCCAGGACTGACTGCTCTGTACCACATACCTGGGCATGTGGAAATCTGCAGCCTCCCACAGGCATTTTTGCTCTTTACATTGTAGACATGCATCTCCAATGCAGAAATGTAATGCAGTAAGAATTTGGCCAAGAACAAAGGCAGTGCATTCTTAAAATACTAAACATATGGGTAAAGTCATTAAGATCAGGCACACATAAACTAAGGGCAGAACGCTGTCCTTAAAATATCAAGATTATTGCTTTATATTGTAATCTATGGACCGATTCACATTAAGAAAGGAAATCTTTCTGACACAGAGAACTGCAATTTCATACTCACTCAAACTTGCTTTTAAAATGACCTGGAAATTACTTATTAGAGTGAAGCAATCTGCTAATAATCTATTAATCTTCTGCTAGTAATCTATTAATCTATTTAATATTTATTATTATTTAACTTTATTGTGACACTTTCTACTAAAAAAGAAAAGCAAGGTCAACACTGGAGAAAAAAATTAGACTGCTTTCTAACTTCATTCTTTCAATAAGTCTTATTCTGATGCTGTCTAACTGTTAAACGTGTCTCCTTAGTTTTACATCTTCAGTTCCTCTTTCTTTGATTATCTTTCCAGGTATTTAATCCTCACAAGCAGTGAGGTAAATGTTGAGATACATGTGTGTTTTCCATGCATTAATCAGGAAATCAGTATTAAAAGGTATTTTTCTTTGGTGCTACAAGATGCCTCTCCCTTGAGGACTCTTGTGTTCTTTGCAAATGAAAGCAAACATTGAACCACTGCTGACATGTCAGGATTTGAAGGTTCACAGTTGAGGTACATGACAGGAACCATATTTCCCACAAGAAAATATAATGTTTCCAGTGTTCAGTTTTGTTCTATTCTGGAATGAAAAACTGAAATACTGAAATAATTTCGACTGGGAAAAGTCAAACTATTCTTTAGATGTTTTGATCAAAATGAAGGAGGAGCTATTCAAATACAACTACCTGATTGATGCAGCACTGGAGACAGATTATTCAACACGGAGTGGATTTAGTGGATGAAACTTTCTGAGGAGGGGAGGGGGAAAAGACATGGAACTAACCAAGAAATCTGCTGAAGTCACTACACTTAATCTGCTCCACCCCAGCTTCCATATACTGATAAATCCTTCCAGCTCTATCAGCAGGACCAACCTAGTTTTTTGCAGCACATGTTTTTCAGTAGCACATTGCTACTGAGATGGTGAAATGTTTTCCCTCCATGTCAAGACTCATATTAAAGCTATTGACTCTGTCTAGCTAGCAAGGAGATGAAAAGAAAACACACTGCTCCCATTACAGGATGTGCTGCTGAAATACTTTGTGGTTCTGTAGAAGGTAGTTGGCTGTAAAAATTGGTAAGTTGGTCTCTGAATTTAGAAGTCTGGCTAGGCATTCAATAGACTAGAAATCAGCATAATTCATGTGAAAATGGCCGAGATATTTTTGAAAACTAAGCTATTTTTATAGCATCTTTAGAGAGGAAAGAGAAAACAAACTAGCATATCTAAGTGCATCATCTTGCGTCGGGGGTCTTGCATAAGAATGTTTGCATCAGAAAATATTCCTCATCATAAACCAACATAAACCAATAGAGTAATAATACTGCCAGCTTCCAGCTTCCAAAGACACCATTAGTTATTTGGGGTCTAACACTTCCTTTTACACATTCTATAGAAATGTTTCACTCTCCTAGTTTTAAGTATTCAGCCACTTTTGGAGTCTGGTTTCCTTAGAGTCCTCCTATAGGCAGAAAGAGTTGGGCATCTCCAGAGCGTGAGTCAGCACAGGCTGCGCTATACCTGAAACAGTCTGGGGTCCTCCATTACCTATAGCAACCTGAGAGGGATCCTCTAGAGACCTGAAAAATCCCAGAGAAGTGCCTAAAGGAAAGCCCTAATTTATAGTCATCAAAGATCAGAAGCAGATCAAAGACTACCTCTGATCTGGATTAGATTCTGATGTGCAAGCAATTAATAAATTTAATTTTCATGAGACTTTAAGCCTACCACAGTTGAAAAGAGTATTTTTCCCTTGTCTTAGTCTCCCACCATTTTTTTTTTCTTAAGGTAAAAGTGATAAAGTTACTTCTATGGGAACTAACATGATTGAAACAATATAGGTTAGTGCTATTGGTATATCCACATCCAGAGAAATTATAGATGACATAAGAAATTTAAGAATCTTGCAAAAGCACAGTATCATACTGGAATTGTATTTATTTGTTATAAGTGGGCTTAATTCCAAATTTGCTTGTACTGTTTTTGTGTTTTTGTTGTTGTTGTTATTGATTTTTTATAATATTGTTTTAACATCAATGGCTTTTACTGCTGTTAATATACTTCATGGTAATTTAGCTTTAAAACTATATGCAATTTCAGAAGACAATGAAGTTTGAAGTTAAATCTTTACCTCTAACTGCCATTAGTGTTTATGGCTCATTGAACTTTTTCCAAATATGTGTACTCAAGCTTCCAAATCTAAGACAGCATAATCCCAAAATTAACAAATACACTTCAAGCTTAGCTTTAAACCTCAAACTAAACAGTGTTATCAAAACATCATGCTATTAGCAAATTCTTTCCCAAAGTCTAAAAAAAATGAGACACTGAAATTTCAATTACTCATATCCCTTGATTTAAACAGAGAAGGCAACTTTCTGCTCTCTGGCTGAACAAAAACATTCAAGGGTGCAATTTCAATGTATCAGATGGAGATTATGATGCCCACTTCTACTTCCATTAGCAAGCTGGTGGTTTTATGAAGAAGTGTACAAAAACTCCATTTTCCAGGCTGAAGAATGAGAGAAATGCAGTCAGTCAGAACTTAGCAAAATCCCTTTCTAATCCACTGAGCGAATCTGAGCTAAGAGATGAGAAAAAGATTCAAGTAACCATTATGTTGCAAAATAGACATTAGAGAAATTTCATGGTAATTCTGTGGCAGAATTTACATGATGGCCATTATGCATCTTCAGTTCTCATGTCCTGTCTCTAAGTGAAAAAATATTATAGGGCTTCTCAAGAAATATGGGGCACTTTGATTCAAACACAAAGTGCAATTTAAGTTCACAAGCAGGCTTCCAGCCTGGGCATTCCTTTCACTATATCTATATTCTCCAAGCTGTAATCGTATTTAAAGCACAATCAATAGCTCTTTTTACCATTTTTATGACAATTCATTTAAAAAAAAAATGCATTTTTCCGAAGAAAGATTTTATTTGACCTTTAAAGCTTAGAGTAATTAAGGAAGTAATTCTCTCTTCTTATTCAGCAGCCTCAACTAAAATTTGTCATCAAACATTCACCCAAGTATTAAGCTTTCAAAGACTGAATGTTGCATTCACTGAAAGGGTAAACACAGGTGCAAGTCCATGAAGATAGATAGCTTTGTATGCAAATATTAGCGTACACAAGCTTATGAATACATTTGTGCATGCAAATACAATCATCAGCTTCTGATCATTGAGATGTATCTTATAAAAACAACTCAAATAAGATCTTTTTATTCATGCCAATTCCTCAAATTGCATTTCTATTATTATACATTTTAAAGAGTTTAACATTTTTTTTAAAAAAGAAGGGCCATCATTTCCTGCAAACAGTAACATTAGGAAAATGAAGTAATGAAGTGCATCTGAATCCTGCAAGCTAAAGACTCAAAAGACTTTTGCCAGCTAAAAGTACCCAACATACTGATTTGGCAATTCCTGGATTTATTCTGATAGTAGCTAGGGGTACATCAGCTCAATGGAACCACTCTCCTCCACATTGTTTTCTCATCATGATTTGACAGTGTTTGATGATCTACAGGGTGCATTTAAAATTTTATTTACCCAGACTTTTATTAGACTGAGCATAATAAGTGAAGATTTTTTTTTCCAAATACAAGGAAAGACTTATTGCTGATTTTACATCAATTTAGATTATTTCTGCCTATGACTTTATTTTTTCATGATAATTCAACACACACAGAGAGTGAAAATAAATGTACTATATTGAATGAGTAAATAAATAAGGAAAAGAATCTGTATTCAGTTTAATAACAGAGTTTAGGAAAAAAAAAGTAGTATACATTGAAAATCTAATTCCACAGCCAGACTTGCCTGATAAATTCCACCATATAGTACTGGATGGGAGAACTTCCTTCACTGACTCCAGGTTTCCAGGACAGTGCGACTTCGGAATCAGAAACAACAACAATCTGGGGCTGGTAGGGTGGTGCAGGGGGCATGCACTTACCTAAGCCAAAAGAATTGCATTAGAGAAGACTTTAAGACACATAAAAACTCAACAACCACAAACTTAGTAAATGTATAGGCTTTTCTGCCTGTTCTGTTGCCTCTCTAAAACCTCAAGCATGTGGAAGTGTAATAGTGAAATATTACCAAACTGCACATAACTGATTTAGGTGTGAGCGATTAGGTATGTTACAGGTGCAACATATACTAGTGTAAAGAGAAAACTTTCTTCAAAGGGTCCAGTAGGTCCATAAGGCATCCCAAGCATGATGGCTATTATCATTTTAAATCATTAATAATGTTTTTGACCATTTTGCCATCACAGCCACTTCCTGCTATCTGACCACTGCTGGCTTTGAGCAAAGAGGGGTTTCAGCATGGTCTGTTTTTATCTGACAGAACAGTGAAATGTCTTGGCTTGACTCTGCCCTGCTACTTTTGCAAAAAGGAGGTATGTACAAGAATTTTTACCTGGAGATAAGGTGGTTACGTGTCTGAGCATGCTGGGTTGTCCTTTTCCTGCCCAGCCATACGCTCTAACACTAACACGATGTGGAGTGCCTGGTTTTAAATCACCAATAACAACTTCCTACCAGAGTCAAAAGAAAACAAGACAGAAATACCGTGAAAGTTATTCCATGCAGCTCAAAATGACACAGGGTCCTAGGCTGCTGGGATTTTACATGATATTTTCCATGTAATCTCCTAGGAGGATTGTATCAATTCCAGTTCATCTCAGAAACACTAAAAACAAACAAGATCACGTTTTCTGTCAAGTTGCAGCTTTACCCCAGAGAAATCTATAGGGCTGACCTAGACCCACTTTTCAGAATAATTCATGGAGTTGCAGATAGTTTATATTTGCTCTCATGTTTTTGCCTTGAGCCGATTGCTGACATTCCTAAAGAGTTTGGAGCTTTTTTTATTTTATTATTATTTTTATATATCCAGAGACAGTAGAAGCTTCTGAGAATGAAGAAACATATAACAGCAAGAGTTGATGATCTTTAATTTCAAATTGATCAGAGACCTATTCAATTGCCTCTTATAATTTTCTTAGCCTTGACTTGAAACAAATGGCTCCCTTCAAGAGAGGGCAGAGATACATTTGTCTTTCTGCCATAAACACAGAATGCCAACCACTACTGTTGGGAATTGGCTACGAGAGCGTGGACATGAGTATGGATCCACTGACTTTGGTTCAGGCCTGCAACTGAGCAAGCAGGGCCTTCTGGGAGATTGGGCCTCAGGAGAAAAGTGCTGACGACGTGCTGGTAAGGCAAGGACACTCTGTCCTTGGCTAGTTTCGTAAACAACTTTGAGGGGATAAGGCAGGAAGAATGAAGAAGCTGCGTTGCTTATCGACCGTAATCTGAGCTGGCTGTACTGAAGTAATCTTTCTAACAAACAATCAAATACCGCTAGCAACCAATTACCGACTGACACGTTGGCATGCTCAAGCTGTAACTGTATAAATGTGCACTGTCTCGGGCAATAAAGTGAATACTGCCTATCACTCATATTGAGATGTCTTAACTCAGCGTATTCCTCCACCACCTGCACACTACAAGGAAGGTGATGCTCACTTCCACATGAAGAGGTTGTTCTGTACAATACTATTCACTGGAACCTGCTGAAATCTCTCAAATATTAGCAAGTAGCACACAAACCCTTATATCACTGGCTGGTCCAAATAGCATGGATCAGCCTCAGACTTTTAGATGAAAGGAGCATGTATATATGTATATGAAAATTCAGAATCCTTTATCTGTAGCATAGACAGTACAAATTCCAGATTTAAGAATTTTGACAGTATATGCAAATAAGCATAAAATATGTGGCTTAGAGTCTGATATATTTTGGTGTGAAGAAATGTAATTCTATAGTATAAATGTGCTTCTACATTGTAAAGAATTTTTTATCAATAGTTTTCTCCCTGTTTCTCTTTCTTCAGTATTAAAAATAGCATTCACAATGCATGGGAAAATGCAGAGGTCTCCTTTTTCTTTAAGCTGGAACAGACCTGAAACCTGCATTTCCAAGTGGAGCAAAATAGTGCACAATCCTAAAATTTTATTTTCTAAGAAGTTTCCTTATGATATTCTTTCAGACAAACTTTCCCTCTCTGTTTTTTGGGAGTATATTGCAATAACACAATATTGCTCAGCAGCACCCTGCCATCTATTATTTCTCTAGCTGTGGTTTTGTAGCCCCAATATTCATTGCCAATTAACTTGGAATGTTTGCCTATTATCCTGTTTTTCCAACCTTCACCCTTGATCTGGTTGAACGTTTTAGATTCAACTGAGAAAGATCATAGAATCATAGAATGC